GTCGGCAAGTCCGCCGCCGCCAAGCGCCATCCAGCCACCTGTGCCCTCGTCGCGGCACATAACTTGCGCACGGACGCGCACCAGGTAGGCACTGCACATAAAAAACATTTTAAAAATATATAAAAAACTTCAAATGCGAACTCAAGAGAAAAGCATCCGGCATCGACGGGATACAGGAATGCTATGAAAAATAATTCGTAGCGCCATCGATTAAATCGGCAGTAAGGTACAGTCGGGGAATTTGACGGTGTACAGTTTAAAAGCAGCAATATTTCGAAACGTGTAACAATCTATACTGATATAGTCACAAGGAAAAAAATGTATTTTTGTATGTATTGAAATAACTTAAAAATTCTTGCTTTATTAAAAAGCTATGTTATCGCTGAGTAAAGTCATATTTTATTAATATTTATTCCATCCAGAGGAAGTCGCGAGCAACTGCTAGTAATCAATACAACTCATCTTTTAAATATATCTGTACGAAAAAAGGTCGATTAGTGATATGAGGCTAATTTCTTTTTATTATTCTGTCGTTAGCGCAAATCATTGCTAACTAATTGGTTATTTATAAGAGGTAGACTTTGTCTTATAGGACACAAGGCAATTATTCTTAAAGTGGAACAGGGAGTATTGCTGCGACTGTACATCGACTAAATTCATACAATTTGTTCATCAAGCTACGGATACTTTCTTATAAGTTTTGGTCCTTTGCGAAATTGCGACACAATATTCGCTAATCACGTTAAAAATAGACTTTTTTAATCATGATTTCAACTAACTTTATCAGACTCCGGGCACGGAAACCATACATGAGTCGATGTTGCAACGTCTCTAAATTTAAAAAAGTTCCACAAACTTTGTTAAGATTGCCCAAGTAGGGAAAGTTTAAGAATCCGTACAGTTAGCTTTGCGACATTTAATCCGTAAAATGGTTACGCAAAGGGTTAATTAGTTAAAATTAACCGAAAGATTATAGAAAGTCACGTTTTTTTAAACGTAGATTTTTTAATACGTGTACTGTCATATCATACGGTGGCAAACGAGCAAGCGGACACCTGTATTCACCGAAATGTGAAGCGACCACTGCCCATAGACATTTGCAATTGCAGATGCATTGTCTACCCTTAATCAACGGAAGAGACGCACATAAAGAGGATATATCCCCTTTCTATGCGTCTATTTCATCAAATTCATTTTTCCTTCCCATCCTTAACAAAATTAAAGGAAGCGAAAGGGACTTAATCAAGCCTTCGGCACACATCAGGCGTTCAGAGTTGCTTACAATTAACGCCTGTCTTCTGTGTGGTCGTGGTATTGCTTGGGCGAGCCATTCCTGCGAAGATGTTAAAGCGGGCTCTACCACTGTTTGGTTAAAAGTGTTTGCATTGACCGTTTTATAATTAGTAGTACATTTTAATTCCAATTATGATTAGGTACTACGTCAGTGTAAATCTACGCTAAGATATCACTACGTAGTATAAAAAGTCCCTTTCAGCTGTCTTTTTTTTATAACATAAAATGGCAAACGAGCAAGCGGCCACCTGAATCCGACTAAATGGCGAAGCGACCGCTGCCCATAGACATCCGCAATTGCAAATGCGTTGCCTACCCTTATACGACGGAGGAGAAGGCACATAAAGAGGTTATTTCCCCTTCCTATGCATCTCCTCCACCGTCAAATCCACTTCCTCTTCCCAACCTCTCCGTATAAGAAAAGGGTGATAAAGAGAAATGGACTAAAATTAGGCCTTCGGCACCACACTCATCAGACGAAACACGGAATTGCTTCCATTTCACGCCTGTTTTCTGTGTGGTCGTGGTATTACACCGGGCGTGCCGGCCCATTAGTGCTAAGATCTTAAAGCGGGCACTACCACTGTTAATGTGTGTGTATGTTAATTTATCTGTAACATAGGCTATATTAATAAACAGTGTATTTATTCAATACAATAGATAAAAAAAATGCTGATATTTTAGAGGTTTCTTATAAGATGTAAATAAACATATTTTTGTATGAACATTGGAAGCCGGGGCACACAGCTAGTTGTGAATTAACCACAGTATACACCATATCGCGATATTAACAATGAAATGGGGCGTTACGTTTTCCATTGATGTACATTTTCATTGACATAGAAAGCTCTTGTAGTGGCCTTGTTGCGCGCGCATTGCAACCTTCAATGTAATACGACTGCTTCGAACTATGCTACTGCCAAGTTTTACAGATGTAATACTTTCAGATATATTTATTTAATATAATGTTGCGACGTCTACATGGAATTAAAATATAGCCTACTAGTTTTTACTAGTTACTACTAGGCTACAAACTCTAACAAACATCCATCCACTCATTTAAACTTTCGCATTTATAATATTAGTAAGAAGTTACTCAGTGACAATGTACCTTTTTAATTGGCTATCTTAAGAGCCAACGCAACCTTTGAATAAACTACCACTCAACTGTTTAGTCTCGCTTTGATTCCTATGAGCCTATATGGAGCGCACACTACTCGATTTTTAGTTGTAAACAGTTGAATTGGCTACGAAACAATCGACAATCGCACAACAGTTTTGTGATAAAGGTGTGCGCCCTTACGATCCCATATAGACCAGTCCTAGTAATCTTACTAATATAAATGCAAAAGTTTAGATGGATGGATATTTGTTAGAGTTTGTAGCCTAAACGGCTGAACGAATCTCGATGAAATTTATCATCGATGTAGATGATAGTTTGGAAGAACAGATAGACGACTCACTTTTGTTTTTTAATTTCACGACGGAGTCGCGTGTAAAAATTAGTTTTGTATAAAAATGACAAAACCAAAACAAAGAATCTAAAATTAGTATCCATTGTCCTTAATTTGGTTACGACCGGTATACCGGAAGCTGTCATTTGTAATGCTTTACCATTGACTTCATACTAGGCTAGTACTTAGTCGAATGCCTAGTAGTCATACTAATCATACTAGTATTATAAATGCGAAAGTTTGGATGGATGGATGTTAGAGTTTGTAGTCTAAAACGCTGAACGGATCTCGATGAAATATGGCATAGATGTAGAGGGTAGCCTGGAAGAATATATAAGCTACTTTCTTTTGTTTTTATTAATATCACGGACTGAGTCGCGGGCGGAAGCTAGCTAATAAACATTGCGTTTAATTGTCTATTAGTAAACAAATAACAATATAATTATATCTCATCTAACTAAAATATACTTTAAGATTACTTAAGCTAACATTATCAAAACACAATAACTTATCTTCTAATATTGTATGATTTTATAAATAATATGCAATACAATATCATCATCCACTTGCCCTTATCCCTTATGGAGGGTCGGCACAGTATGTGCTGCTCTTCCATACATCTCTATCAGCCGTCATAACTGAATCAATACAATATAACAACAAAAATTATAAGCCGCCTAAAGAAAAGACAATCAGATAATAATTTAAAAAGAAAACTGTAATAAACCACTCGATGACATTATTATATTTGCTTAGTTAGTAGTAGGGGCTATGGTTTCCGCAACTCTGTCTAGCGCGTATTTTGCGTGAGAACAATATGGCTTACTCCAGCGAGCCCACATCACCGAAGAACCCCAGCAAACCCTGTATGTTGGTGATCTCAACTGATTTGCTTTGTTAATCAAGAAGTCTTAAAGACTGGCAACATCAGTTTGTTTGCTATCATGGACGACAATGGACCCTAACCTTGATGTTTTCTTAGTCATTACTCTTATAAGAAAATTAAAATCCTGTAATTATGCTATTTGTTAGTTATCTAGATTTTTGTATAATTCTACAGATAGTATGTATTTTGAATATAGGCATTATTTTTTTTATGCCATAAGGTGGCAAATGGTCGAGCGGCCATCTGAATGGAAAGCGACTGCTGACCATAAACATCCGCAATTGTAGATGCATTACCCTTAATTGGCGGAGGAGCACATAAAGAGGACATTGCCCCTATTCTACGACAAAAAAATAGGAAATTCTATGGCTAGTGCATATTTTTCTTGTAAGCAGGATTATACTCCGCCTAGCACAATTATTTAAAGAATTGTAACAACTCCTGGATGCAGGTGACCTATGGTACATCAAGTCTTAATAAATGATATTGTTATTTCATTATTAATTGCATGAGAGAAGTTAACATATTTATTAGACTGATATATGTTTTATACAGTTTTTGTGTAATTTTACCTCTTATAATAGTAAAAAGATATGTCAAATTGGTTTTATTATTTTTCTCTGTCATACTGGCATGTAAGATTTGACAATAAATTAAAAAAAAATGACAGTTGTAATGGTTTAATTAAATAAAAGACTGGCTTGATTAACTTATTTTTTTTTTATTGGAATTGACATAATCTTCGTTTATTTTTTATAAATAGTAGAGATATAAGTTGTTAATCAAAAATATCTACTAATATGTGGTTTATATTCGCGGAATATTCCTAAAGTAATGTACAGTAATTGGTAACGCCTAATTCATTGAGCGAAACAGCTTGGCTGGGCTTAACTTCGTATGACCCCGAAAGGAACCGCCTGCTTTATTGTGAATGAACTAAACGTCATTGATTATATCTACACACCACGCAGGGTGAGAAGGGCGGCGGTCACATATGAAACAAAATTTGACATATACCAACTGTATACTTAAAAAATGCATGCTCAACGTTATATTCAGCTGTTAAAGTTGATATATATCGCGAAATTACTAGGCCGAGCTACGGAAAATGGCCGGGGTAGGACCCTACCTATCGAACACAGGGCGACCTTAAATCGCTTGTTCAGAGTACAATTCACACTACTTACTTTTCAGATGCCCCGGTCATGATTCGACACGTCGAATATCCTAATTTCTACTCGCCACTTCACAGATTTCACCATTTTTATGACATAAATACATCAGACACACTTGCGAACCGTTCTTATTTCGGCCCTTTGTTGGGCCTCAATGCGCGTGCGTCAATAAAGCAATCCGGGCGGGTTATTCAATGAACGGAACGTGTCGGTGCGACAGGTGGCGCGATTATCGCTGACAAATTCGAAAACTCGGCACGCTATTGGTTTAAATCCCTGACTTGGGAATTTTGACCAATCAGAGCGCAGCACAAAAACTAACAGCCAATGACGTAGTCGCAAAGGGTGAAAACAAAGACGCGGGTTTTTTTAAACGTCAAAATTTTTGTTAACAGTTTTTTTCGCATATAATCTTTGTATTTGCTGGATTATTTGAGATTTTAATCTTGTAAATGGTTTTGCAGTTATTAAACGTTATAATATAAGAGAGAGGAAGCCGGCGAGAACGAGCGACGTAGGTGAGTCCGTATACGAGGCTCGGCGGTTACTGAATGGAGGCTCGCAATGGCCCTCCCTTCCCGTTCATGCGGCGACCCATTGAGATATAACTAGGTCAAATCGTTGCAGGGTCCGGGTTGCAGGCGTGCAGTCGAGCCCCCGACTCTATTTATAGCCGTTCTATATTTGGGCAGGTCGTTCGCTCGCAAACGTAAGTGCAGCCTCCGTAAATCTAGGTTACCTGATTTTCTTTGTTAACAGCCGCCCGATGACGTAGTTGCTATGAGCGTGACGTCAGAGATGAAACTTTAATACACGCCCTCTTCCTTGTTCGGTTATTCACAATATTTAAGAAAAAAATAATTACAATATTATTGAAGTAGATTTACTAAAGAACGTATTTATTTAACAATTAATGAAAATTTGAATTAAATCCAATATAATTTCCATATCAAATTGATTTAAAATTATCAAATTTTAATTTAATTTTAATAAAAGTTGATAATCCAATTTTAGTTTCTGGACGAAATACTGAAAATTAAAAACAAAACTTACGTAAGACAGGGTTAAATAAATTAACTAACATTTGTACAAAATTGTATATTGATTACATCTTATTTAATATGAATATAAAAAATTCTTAATATATTACAAATCGTCGAATTCCGCTTCAGTTTTAGTTGCTTGGCTGATCGCTGCCTTCGTTAAATCGTCGCTTTGCAGCATTGTTTGATTGATTAAACACTGGAAATAAAAAAAAACAATTAAAACCACACTCAGAGTCATTAATCACTAATTGACCCCTTAGTGCTTATACAAGACAAATTATTAAAGCAAAAGTTGCAATATTGACTTGAAATTCATAATTACTACCGACCCTTTTAACTTTAAGAGGTGAACTGATTTTAAATGCAAATAAAAAACATCATATAACAATTATGTTTTTGCAATAAAAAATATTTTAATTGTAAATTAAAAGAAATTAATTCAAGGACGTTTTTATTCTTCACAAATAAAAAAAAATTGAAATCTTGTAAAATAAAATAAGATCATAACCAAAATCGAATTCGTAATTAAAATAAACAGCTCGATTCTTCTTTTGTTTTCATTTTATTGTTTTAATTTAAAAATAAGTAAAATAATGAAATTTTCAAAGTATTGAAAGTTAAATTACAATTTTCTCAATTTGTAATTTTTTAACAACAAGTAGCCACAGTAGTAGAGAAGGTAAGGAGTAAAAGGTTAGCATGGTATGGGCATGTTATGAGGAGGGATGAATCGCATGTTACACGGAGAACGTTATTTATGAGTGTGGAAGGGTACATCGGTAGAGGTAGACCTAGAAAGAGATGGATGGATTGTGTAAAAGGTGACATGATCAAGAGAGTGATGACTGAGATGACGTATGATAGAGTTATGTGGAGGACAAAAACTTCAAGACGTTTACCGATTTTTGGTACGCTTTATTAAGAAAAACTCAAAAACTACTGTATAGTAGTTAGTCTATTATCTATATTTAAGTAAATAATTACTCAGTATTAAAAATATTACGAATCTAAACATATTAATAAAAGTAGAGTGTCTGTATGTATTCGTTAAAATCCATATAACGAGATATCAATTTTTAAAATGTCTGTCTGTCTGTGTGTTTGTTTCGGAAACTACAAAACAGCTAGACTATTTTGAACGGGACTTTAACGGAAACGTAGTTTTTTAATGCAGAAATAACAGAAGTTGTATTTAGTAAAGATATGTTTAGTATACAAATTTAAAATATACAGTTAGAATTAAGCGCTAATATCTGTTTGACTAAACTGTCGCACAACCGTTGTGCGATTGTCGATTGTTTCGCATTCAACTGTTTCGCACGACTAAATATCGAGTTTGCACCTCCACAAGCTCATAGGAATCAAAGCGACTAAACAGTTGTGCGATAGTTTAGTCAGAGGTGTGGCTCTAATGGTTACGGGTAGGAATTTCCGAACAATAAGTCGAGGGTTCGAATCCCATCATTCCACAATTGTGTTAAAAAAATTCCTATTTCAAATGTAGACCTTAATTGGAATAGTACAAGATATTTTAGTAAAACAAAAATATGCTTATCTTACTAATATTATAAATGCAAAAATGTTAGAGTTTGTAGAATAAACTGGTGAACAGTTTTCATTTGTCATATGTAGAGAATAGTCCAGAAGAACACATAGACTACTTTTTTAATTCCGCGGACGAAGTCGCGGGGTGAAGCTAGTATTTTATAGTTAAATATATACTTACAATATGTTCTAATCCTTCAGCAGTTGGTCTACTTTGGGAGTAGACGAGTGATTGTTTAGTCACTTGTACCGCTACTGGACTTTTAGCTGCTATAGTCTGAGCTACTTCTAGCACTTCTTGTATAGCACTGGAAGAATAATAAAAAAAAACATAAAAAAGTTATAGGGAACAAAATGTTAACAATAACAGATATATAGGAGTCTAGCCATCTATGATATGTTCTTAAATAACAAAAAATAAATACGATTTAAACTAAACCAATTTCCAAAACGTTTTCAATTCATTTGTATGATTGTTTTATAATTCATTGTTAAACCAAAGCATACCAAGTTGTTTTTTTTATTAAAGAAGCTAGAATTAATTATGTTTAGTTTAAAAATGAAATTCGATTGAAGCGTATATTTTTTACATAACAATACACCTAATTAATACTTTAAAAATTGCGCCATCTAGCGGTAAAGTCGTTTTATAATTTAGTAATCACAATCTGTTCATAGATGGCGCTAAATACAAACTATAAAATTGAAGAAAAACTCAATGGTAAAGAGGAATTATATTTACATTTTTAACTTGATATATCATTGAATCAACCAAATATACTAATGTTTTAAATTAGCAGTAAAACTTAGTAAGTAGTCTGTTTTTTTCCAGATTATATTCTATATCTGAGACAAATTTAATTTTTTATTCATGTTAATTTTTCTTGATGGATGTTTGTTAGTTTGTAAACTGCTGAAGGAATCTCGATGAAATTTGTCATAGATGTATATAGTCTGGAAGAACACACAGGCTTCTTTTTTATTTCACGCGAACGGAGTCGCGGGTAAAAGCTAGTATTAAATATATTTGAGACTTACCTATCTCTATCAGGAAAAACTTTACTAACAAGACCAATTTGTAATGCTTCTTTAGCAGACACCTTCCTCGCTGTGAAGCAAAGTTCACTGGCTATTGAAGTACTGCCTATTACCTGAAATAACATAAATCTATACTAATATTATAAAAAGACTAGCTGTTGCCCGTGACTTCGTCCACGTGGCATTAGAAAACATACCAACTATATAAATTACAAAAAGCTACGTATCCCTCTGGAACCAGACATTTCTCTGAGATGGAGCTTATCCCATGTGTACTCCAGACTTTGTTTTGTCTGTGTTAAATTTCAGTAAGATATGTTGACCCGTTGCAGAATGATGGAGTAAACATTCAAAAACTTCTTCCAAATTATGCTCTAAACCTATGCCATATTTCCGGACATCCGTTCAGCCGTTTAGGCTACAAACGCTAACAAACATCCATCCATCCATTCATCCATCCACCGTAACTTTAGCATTTATAATATTAAATATAATATAAGTAAGAAAGATTTGTATTTTTGTATGTATTGAAATAACTCAATAATAACTGGACTGATTCTAAAAATTCTTTCACCATTAAAAAGCTATCATTATTATTTAGAAATGGCAAAAACGTAAGCTTATTTTTACCTACTTCTAGAACTTACTTTAGGTAATCTCTGCAAAGTACCAACATCAGCGGCCAAGCCTACATCCACTTCTTTGACTTGGAACCACGCCTCCTCTGTACAATATCTGCAAGGGAGAGACAATTTTAAATATTAAAAAAGATGTTGTTTTTATAAATCATAAAAGTACAATATTGATTAAATTATGATAAGAGAAAGGTTAACAGTTTATTGTAGGTCCCCTCCTTTGTCAGAGGTAGGGAGAGACAATAAATATATTAAAACGAGCTTTTTTACACAAAGTTAAAGTACACTAATATCTACTCAAAACAAGGAGACAGAAAAGGTAATATGTCCATTTTATGTACGTCCCCTCCCCTGGCCATTAAATATCTAATCTTAATAAAATCATCTTGTCTGTTTTTATATAAATATAAAAAACACCAATATTTAACCGGACACTAAGACAGAGGAGGGGAAAATCCCTTTTCGGTATGTCCCCTACTCTGTACACTAAAGGTAGATAACTTAAACAAGAAATCACATACAAGCTGCTTATATTAAAAACTTATTATAAGGTAGTTGTAGAGACTACAATTGTAAAAACTTGTTAAAACATCAATAAAATGGCCGTTAGCTATATAAAAACCTCACCTAACATCTGCAGCTGTAATCAAATCCACTCCAGCGCCGACACACGCGCTGTGTACCACCGCCAGTACTGGCTTCACACAGCTCTCTAGCGCTGTTATACCGTGCTGAAAATGTACAATAAAAAAACTATAAAACTGTAATAACTAAAACAAAAAAGCTTAGTAAATATTTGTTCTTCTATACTATTTCATCTGTGAGAAATATCATATTAAGCCATAACAAACATCCATCAGAAGCTTTGCGTCAATTTAAAAAAAAGTATGATATTTGTTCTTCGAGACTGAATCATCACCAGTTCACTAAATGTCCCCTAATCAGGGGTGACTAGGACATAGTCAACCACGCTGCACTGCGGGATGGTTGACTTCACATATATCTTTGAATTTCTTCGCCGATATGTTCAGGTTGCATCACGATGTCTTCCTTCACGGTAAAAATGTCGGGTAAATTATGTACATATGAAAATTTGAAAAATTGAAAATCAAATTGGTACATGGCGGGATTCAAACCCAAGACCTGTAGATTACAAGTCAAGTGCATAAACCACTGAGCCACAGACTGAATACCTATGAAAAATTTCGTTTTTCATATGAAGCTCGAAGGGGATCCGAAAAAAATGATTGAATATCACAAAGGATAGCTTTAAAATGAGATATCATATGTTTGTAATATTCTGAAAATTTCAATACTGTATTGTACTTCAAGAAATATTTTAGCATACCACAGTGAAGGCCGTTAAAAAATTGCCATAAAGTAGCAATTAATGGTCAAAGTACAGGAAATTACTGAAAAAATGTGCTTAGAATAATTTACCTGATATTGTTCAATCATTTTGTGCAAGAATCTAGCTTTTCGGGCTACATCACTTAATTCATGTGCCTTACTGGCACTCTCCACAAACCCGTTCAAATCAATACCTGAAATAAAAACATCTTTAATATCTCTTATTCATATCATAAAGTAAGCAAGCGGTCACTTAAATTCGCCGAAAAGGCGAAGCAAAGCTCTACCCATACATAAGCAGAAGTATGTGTATCAACACACATGAAGTGAAGATATTACCCCTTCCTATGCATCTCCACCATCAAATCCACTTTCCATTCCACAGATGAGAAACCTTTAGTCTAGAGAGGAAGAGACACACATAAAGAGGATATTTCCCCTTTTTATGCATCGCCACCGTTAAATCCACTTTCCCTTCCCATCTTTATAAGAAGAGGATGGCATGAAAAAGGACAACAAAGAGAATTATCTCTGCATTAACTATTTCCATGCTTTACTAACTTCAATGAGAAAGAAACCATTTAAGTACATTAAATTGTTGTTAATTTTTCATAATAAAATAAATTACCTCCAGTAAAATGCTTTCCTTGTCCAGATAATACTACCACTCTGCACTCCGGGTCTTCACTTAATGCAGAGAAGCAAGTTCTTAACTCTCTGTAATTAATTAAAAAATACATTTTATACTCATTGTTTTATGATTTGTTAACTTTTTAACTTAAATATAGAAGTAACTGCGTTAACTAATATTGGTTTTAACTTATGGGTTATAGAATAGAACTCTGTTAGTGCAAAATAAAAAAAATATATATTTGTAACCTGTGTTTTTTCAAATTATGTTTGACATCTATGCCTTTCAGCGAGATACTATTAGCTGTTCTGGAGACACTTTCTAACATTTTTAATATTAAATAGAATATTATATTGGTTAATGCTGAGTATTGACAGATTGTTTAATGTTATAGGTAGTTTTAATGCAATTTTATACAAAAATACTTGTGTTAAAATTCATCCGAATAAAATCAATCAAGTTTGATGTATAAATAGATTTAAGTTAAATGAAAACTAAATAAAAACTATTTGTAAATGTTTGACTAGGTTACTGGCAGCATATAAAACTTTTTGGTTACTTTAGACTATTTAAAAAAAACTTACTTCCACATTGTTGGTGTGAATGTGTTGAACTTTTTAGGTCTATTTAATTCAACATGGTAAACGTATTTCTTAGGCACTGATACAGCTAAAGTTTCATATTGGGGAATGTTTGACGAATATAATCTCGGAAATAATCCTGTAATAAGAGAATTTATAGTATCACCAAAAGGTCATGTCGGCATAATAAATGTTTTGATTTTACCTAAAACTCTGTTATTTCCCACATAAACGAATTGTCTAATTAATGAACACATTTTGATGGTCACTATATCACAATTCACTGTATAACAACTATATTTTCAATTATCAAGAAATAAACAGGTGATTCCAAAGTACAAATTCCAAAAACAAAACTAAAAGATGAACTTGACCTTGACCGTGAAAGCTAAAAGCCTCTTTAGCCTTTAGTGTTGCCATATCGATTACTTTTATTGTGCAATGTGCAGTAAACATTTTATTATAGATTTATCAGACATTAAAAAAACATAAATGTTAAAGAAGAAATTCTTCAATTTTTTCCTGTTACTTTTTATTTGTATATTAATTTATTTTGAATTACATAACAGTTAACTACACAAATATTTCGATAGATGGCGAGAGTAGTATCAGAGTGCCAATAAATGACAAAATTAGATGCGAAAACATTTTTTAAACATTTTCTTATACTCATTCATGTAACCTTTTAAATAGTTGGTATTGTGATAATTAGGAACATTAACGGACACTAAGATTTTATTAGCAATACTTAAATATGATTCGAAGCTATTTACTTTTCTTATAAGACTTTTTAGTTATTAAAAATTAGATTTTTAGCTTTAAACCTTTTCGTCTTTTATCTGCAGCCTAATTTTGGATTCTTGTGTTTGGAATGACCACTACCCTCAATCTCTAGGTAGATTAAGTTGCTGTTCCTAACAATAGGCATTGTTTTAACATGTAGTGAACGGTTAAATTTATTCATTACTATAAGAAAAAAACGATCAAGCTTACCCTAATTCTAAACAATGACAATACTAAATAAAACACGTGTTGCTGTATTACTCTATTTATCTGACCAATAAATATTTAATGAAGCCTACGTGACAAAGTATTTAGATCGTCGACGTTTTTAATGATTTAATGAATGAAGCGCTACGTTCGCCACCTATCTTTACAACTTAAACTGGCAACATTAGCAGTTTAGGCACGTCTCTGTACGGGACATTGTACCAAAAAAAGTATCGTGATTCGCACGTTCATTTGATTTATTGATGTGTGTCAGTTATGGTGGTGACAATTTTATATTTAGCATTTAATCTGCATTTTGAATATTTTCTTTTGATCTAAATAATAATGTATATGATTGATTAAGCTTGTTGTGAAGTATTGGTAAAGGCGTTTGATCGTAAACCAGTAAAAATAATAAAACAATTTAATGAATAAATATCAATATGTTATTTTACGAATTTCAAAAAGAAATATAATAAAGATAGTATGTACCTTTTGCAGAATTGTTTATTTAATCTGGCAATATGGTCACCTTATTTTTTTTAATTCAACACCCGAACAATGACATCAACGGAAGGAGACGCAACTTTCTCATACATCAAAGCGTGTCTAGCGCCTAGCTTTTTTAGGCGATCTAGACGTAAACCTAATATAGTAGAATACTATTGTTACTAGAAAGGTAATCGTTTTCGGCGCCGTTTACGATGCGTTTGACATTGACATTACTGGCCGAATAAATTATGTATTATATTTTTAGATTTTACGATCGCTATAAACTTTTTTATGTCAATGTAATTGAAAATGAATTTAATTAGAAATCATTCAATTATTTTATTAGCATTTGCTGCATTTAAAATATTTTTTCTCCGCGTATTTTTTTTCAATCGCCCCAAATCAGTATAATGGTATTTTACGAGCACTTTCTAGGCCTTCCTGCGACACCTCGTTACATACAAAGTGGCGACATCTATAAATCATTCGTTATGCATACATATGAGATCATTTAGTGCGTAAGGATTATCGTTGATTCATAGAATCGTAATAAGGTAATATCATACTGTTATCTTTTTTAGATAAGATATCCTTTTGTCCTACTAAAGCTAAATACGTAAATCAAGATTTGACAGATTAGAAGGAGATGGAGACAAGATGAAGGTGACAAATTGACAGTTGAACTCAGATCAAGGGCGGATCCAGGGGGGGGGAGTCATGGGGTCATGCCCCCCCCCCCCCTGAGCTCTTGCCTTGACCACGCTATGATTATGTGACCCCCTGGCGCCAAAGCAGAATCCGCCCTTGTCTAACATAATAGCAGCAGAAGCATTTTATATACTCTTTGGCTGAATGTCAACGTAATTTGATTTATTTTTATATTTGCTTATAGCTTTGTATCATGATTTAGTAAAATTCGAGGAAAAAACGTACGATAAAACCTTTAAGAGATAAAACTAAGAGTTTAATTAGGCTATGCGTAATACTTTAATAACTTCTTTGAAGGAGATAAAGTTAACGTCTGTTTTATGAATAAATACGAATATAAAAATGTGAACGATCTGTCAACAATACATAGATTCCAACTTGCGTTGATATTTTTTCTAGAAAGTCTTATATTATCTGTGATCTTACTGCGTTTTTAGATGACTTATGACGTCACAAGATGGCGCTATCGCAAATTCTTTGAATAACAATGAAAATTATTACAAAGAACATGACATATTGTTATTGTAGTGGTTAGGATATTACGTGTAGTTCTTAATAATGACCTAAGTAAATTTTATTTCTGATCTAAATAATAGTTCTATAGAAAACAAAACAATTTGTCAAACCAATATGTGGTCATTCAAAATACAGTCGTATTTAGAAACCATTGTTTAACAGTCAGAAGAAAATTAGTCATAAGGTAAAACCAGATCTTATTTTCCTGTTAGGGATAAAAAGTAATTTAAAACATATATCTTATGACGCATTTTATTTATTTATTATTATTTTTAATGTATGTCTAGGTTAAGTCATCCTACCTATGTGTTAATACTTGTGTAAAGGAGCCAGCTGAAAACCAGCGCAGTAACGGCCTGCGTTATCCCTGCATTATCTGAGTTTGCCGCCTTTTGCCACATTTCTTTTTTACTAGCTCTAAGGTTTTATGTATGTAGTTTTTTGTGGCAATAAAAGTCTTATTTATTATTATCAATAAAAAAGATAAATAAATATAAGAATATAAATCCAATGAAACTTAAAATTGTTACGTGAAATTTTCGTCTGTGTGCAAATCCGCTTTTGTTCCGGCGAATTAAGAAAATGCTTTATTGGTAGCTATATGCAGGAATAACTTGGGCTAGTTTCTCTAATATGCGCTGAAACTGAAAACGTCAGTGTCTCGCTAGTAAATTACATCATGAGTGCGAAATGATTTGAATATTGTTCTCAGAAATGTCATCTTTTAAAATGCACTGCGGTTGCATGTAATGTATTGAGTCAACTTCGGTTAAACAGCGTTTATAAATTACTAGCTGTTCCCGTACGATTTCATCAGCATGAAATTATAACAAAATCATTTTATTGTTCACATTTGTCAAATTATCAATTGCAAATGTCAAATGACATGACATGACAAACCATGGCAACCTTGCTTCCTTGATGTTGGCAGGTACTTATGGTTTCTTTCCCACATGAGGGTTTTTATTCAAAATATTTATCCCCTAGGTTTAATGGTGTGAAAATGTGTAGCCTAAAGCGTGACGTAAGTGTAGGGCTTTTTATTAAAATAAGAATTATTTAAAAATATGCTGTAATTGCTGACATCTTTGGCAACAAAGGAGTGTGTGTTTACGCTTTATTATAATAGTATATAGTATAGATGAGCCTTTGACTATTTTACAGTATTTAAGGCCTTGAATTATTTTAAGCTATTTATTATTAATGCGATCAGGAATGTACTAACAATGTTCAACAAACAATAGTCTATTAAAGCATGCAGCGCTGCAGCGTTACAGATCGTGCGCGATACTGTTGTTCTTCGACTTTTAAGAGACAGGACTTGACAACCTCATTCCTTTCTGGTAAACAAAACGAATAAGTTTTGAATTTTCTTGCTTCTGTGTTCTTTTTTATACATTTGAGGTCAGTATGGGGTCATGAAATTTTATGTATAGCTGTGATATGCAAATCATCTGTACCGTTCCGCATATTTTATTTAGAAAACAGTTTGCCTAGTCCGTTTTTCTATAGTCAAAGTCGCTGCCCGTTGTCCGCCCGATCATAATTCCCAGACTTTCTATTAGTGATGGGAATTTATGAAATCAAAAGCAAAAGCTTGTGATCGATTTCTGCTCGAATAAGACTTTTTTGATCCATTTAATTCAATTTTAATTGATTTAAATATCGCAACAGCATTCGAAAATTCTAATCAGAAAATACAAAACGTAATGTTGTTAACATGTTTTATTTGCAGTTCATTTAGGATTTTAAGATTCAATCAAAATTAAAGTTGGAATGGTGTAAAAATATTAGTGTTGGTCTAAGATAATTATAATAAATATCGATTAAAAAATTAAATATCGATAACTTCCTTACCGATTTATATGAAGGTGCATCACTAGCGCGCCTGCGATCAGTTGTCCCATGATGTGGGCCATCGTGACTTACCGCTAGCTAACCACCAACATGCTTATTCAATGTCTATAACGACGGCATTACATTTTTTCAAGGATTTATTCCTCAAAAAAACTCGTACAAAATTCTCAGTTTTATACAGATTTGTACGTTTTTCACTTGTTTGAACGTTCAACACCTTATAATATAAAACAAATCTACATGACGAAAACCTGGTGTTCATATAGTGTCTCTCTCTTCTATTCCTATGTCCCCAAAGTGGGGCAGAAGGCGTCCACAGTACGTCGCCAGCTCGATCTGTCCTGGGCTCTGCGTTGTCTCGGACCATGACAGCCCGATTGCCTTCAAGTCGGCCGCCACTGAACGCCACCAGGTTTGTACAGAGTGTAATAAGCGAAAATTAAAAACGGCTCAACTCACGCTTTTATCCTCTGGTCACGGCATCGACTAGTTTCAGATCCTTAGGGGATCCTTCAGTCTAGAGTCCCCTTCTAGAGTGTAATAAGAGATGACATCAATCCAGACGAACATATAATTTATATATGTCGATGATATCAATAGCAATAAAGCTCGCCCTTGGAGATAAATGAGTCATGCATATTATGAGTTTTATGTGTTGAGGCACTGGGTTAGAATAATTTACTGATATTTAACCTAAATACGCATCGTCTAGGTCATGAAATTACTGGAGAATAATTAATATTGAACGAACATTGTTATATTCTACTAGCTTTCGCCCGCGACTCCGTACGCGTGGAATTAAAAAAAAAACAAAAGTAATTAGCCTATGTGTTCTTCCAGACTGTCCTTTACATCTATGCCAAATTTCATCGAAATCCGTTCAGCCGTTTAAGCTACAAAATCTAACAAACATCCATCCATCCATCCAACTAAACTTTCGCATTTATAATATTAGTATGATTATAAGCTTACGTAATCTATTGTGTTTATCATCATGGTGACATATTCATCACACGTAAATACAATTTTTCCTTACATCTGTTTATATGTATAGATATTTTATAATATGAGGTGGCAAACGAGCAAGCGACCAATTGAATCCGCTAAAATGGCGAAGCGACCGCTGCCCATGGACAATTGTAATTGCAGATGCGCCTAGTCTTGATCGACGGAGGAGGAGACGCAAATAAAGAGGATATTTCCCCTACCTATACGTGTCCTCTGCCGTCAAATTCACTTCCTTCCCATCCTTTTCCATAAGAAAAAGGCTGGAAAGGAAAAGAGACTAAAGTTGGGCCGGCACCACACTCATCAACGAAACGCGAAATTGCTTCCACTTCATCTCCTGTGTGTCCGTGGTATTAGGGGCGTGCCGACCCTACAGCTGATATAAAAGCGACTACTACTTTCTACCACTGTTGAAAATTTGGTATAACCAAAAAAAGATGAACACCTATTAACATGGTAAATAGGTAAAAAGTCAAATTTCCAATTTACCCGACGTTCTTACGATGAATATGTGAAGTCAACCAACACGTGGGTAGGCGTAGTTGCTTTGTAGCTAATGATTATGATTGCTTATTTTAACACTCGATTCCTTAAATTTAGGGATCCCTAAAGCATAATTTAGGGGATTTCTAGAAACTCCTTTTTACCAACTTTATGCTTTTTATTTAGATCATTAAACTAAGGGACATCTATCATAGAAAACTTTAGGCGCTGGTTAGTGAAAAAGGCAATAAAAACGTTACAGTTGGCTAATTTACATTTTCTAGGTTACCCGTAAGGTCTAGGTTAGTATACACGTCTACATTTTCTGGGTTTCTTTTGAATGACTTTGTGTTGTATTTCGCAGCATTCATTTTTAACAATGTACTGTGGCAATGGCGAAATTTGAATGAAGATTGACAAGGCTTTATTTCGTATCAGTTTGACTTTGCTTGTTTTTTTTTAGGCTCATTTAAGAAGTTGGATAGTTCAAGTATGAATAAGTATTAAAATATGTAGTTACATGTTCGTTTCTATACTTTAATATAATAAAGCGTAAACACACACTTCTTTGTTACCTAAGATGTCAGCAATTACAGCATATTTTTGAATAATTCCTTTTTTAATAAAAAGCCCTACACTTACGTCACGCTTTAGGCTATATATTTTCACGCTATTAATCTTAGGCGGTAAATAAATTGGATAAAAACCCCAACGTGGGAAAGGGACCTAAACTACTAGCTGCCAACATTAAGGAAGCAAGGTTATTATATTTACGACATATTTTACGAGCAAATTTTCGATCAATATGACGAAAAAAATAGTAAAAGTTATTTGAGTAGCTAATATTCAAATTTGACAGGTTTGACGCGAGGTTTGTAAGCAAGAAAGTGACGTCATGAGGCGTTTTCGCGGTCTTTGGAGAAGTTGTTTTTAGTTAAGTGTTTTTGTAATGAAATGTTGCGTATATGATTTTATTATATTTTTTTTCATATTCAGATACGGTTTATCTACATAATAAAAGCAATTCCAAAAATTAGGAAACATCCCCATTTGACAAATGTGACCCAGATAGCTTCCATAACTTCATAAAAATAATACTAATGATAAACTACTAGTCGAAAAATTGGTGGCGATAGAAGAGTTGTCTATAAAATTTAAGCAAGAAGTAAGTACAGAAATTGAGAATTTCAAGAATGAAATAAATTATAATTTCTTGCGGATGAAGCCGCATGTAACAGCTAGTTTATTTATATATAACAGCTAGTCCTTTATATTTAAAGTCATGAAACTTTACTAAGATATATGATAAAACAAACAAGTAGAAGACAATAAAATCTATTAATCTTTGGAGCTGTGAAATCACCTAGAAGAAATAATTAAAATCAAATAGACTCTGTTCCTTTGGAATAAGGTTTTAAATGGAAGGTCAGTATAATTTAGCTTTAAGCTCTAATTCACTGAGTTTGTATGTGTGTGTGAAATGGAGCGTGTGTGTTATGGGGATAATGTTCCGGGTTAGTGATGTTCTATGGTGTTTTAGGAATTCGATTGTACGATGATTTTGAGCGTTTTTATCTTGGAATTTAAGTGAAAAGGGAATACGAAATAACGTTCAGCAGTAAACAGATAACTAGACTAGACTAATGATTGTGAAAGAATATTATTATGAATATCGAAAAAATTACAAAACAAAAAGGTAACAAATGAAACATTTTAAAACTTATAGAAAATCTTAATCGTGAAATTATAAAACTACGAGAATGTAATAAACTATAAAACTTTACTTTTTAAAGTGTTTTAATATGGAAAATTTTCTCTCTCTCCTAAGAGCATAAAGTTTTGCTACACTGACAGCAATGGAGATTTTTTATTTTTTTTATTTAATAACACAATGTAGCATAGATAAATATAATTTTAATTAACTATTGATTATACAAATAGTAATAAATCGAGAAGTTAACTAAATAAGTAAAACCTACGGTATTTTAATATTCTTGCGTAATATTTATATCAGTTAATTTGTTAGCGTAGTTACATAAATATTTTATATTGGATAGCTGAATTAATTAGATAATAATAGTAATAACAATAGTATAATAATAATAATAGTAATAGTGGAAAATATTACAATGTACAATAGATAAATAGATCGATAAAACTAACCTATCGACATCGCGTCCTTCACTACAAACGCACACAAGAAAGATGGAGCTTGTTCTGAAAGCGAAGCGTTCGAAAAAGTCGCCTCAGTAAGAGTTTTGGAGCACGACGGAACAGTCGCGTTTTAACCGCTCGGTACGTGCAAACGCATCAACTATTTTTACTTTTTTTTTTTATTACAAATGCGTTCCGTTTAAAAACATGCGTTGATATTTAATCTGGATTTTCTGACAGCAAGGAGTTTATATTTGTGTTTTTTTTTAATTTCGCGCTAGTCACGTGTTGTGTTTGATTTTCTTTATTTTGTGCTTGTGAAAAGTTTTTTTTTAATGAATAAGTGGTCAAGGATTATTTTAGATACAGCCTGGTGCATTCTGTGTCAGCGTGAGATATCTAATAATAAGATTTTATGCTGTCTACATTTTTGTTTTGTGTCTGAGCGGGTTTGTTGCGAAAACTTTAAATAGCTACACGGTGCGGTAAGGTATTTATTTTAGACAAGACGAGATGCATTCGAGTTGGAAAAGTCGACGCAAACTAAATATTCATGAAACTACACACAAATAGACGTATTTCTATATAAATGTAACTGTATCTTTCGAAAACCTTGCTAATGTCCTTAGGTTAAAGGTCTTGGGTACTTATTGGTACTCTGTCATGTTTTAAAGCCGAACCTACTTATGTTGAAAAGTTACTTAGGCTTTTTGGGAGAGTTTTCTTAAACAAAGCCAATATAGGTAAGCTAGGAGTAAGAATTCTACTGTAAATGTTTTGAAAAATTTGAAACTTTGAATTTCGAAAATCAAATCAATTCTTACTAATATCATAAATGTGAATGTTTAGATGGATGTTTGTTAGAGTTTGTAGCCTAAACTGTTGAACAGATTTCGATGAAATTTGGCACAAATGTAAAGATAGTCTGGAAGAGCACAGGCTATTCAGTTTTGTTTTTTTAATCTCACGGGAACGGAGTCGCTAGAGCTAGTTTAAAATGAAATTTAAAATGGATTGATGTAATAGAAAACGTATGTTTTTAATTCGTTTTTAATTACAATTACAAAGTTAAATACGGGGTCAAGTTTAGCAAAAACTGTTTGGTACGTAATTGTTTATGCAATTATTTAAATTTAACATACGTAGGTATCTATGTAGTGTTAATTATGTGGAATTGTTAATTATTCCACAGCCGCGTTGTGGAACAGTTTGTCCTCGGCGATATTTCCAAAATAATTCTCAAAGGCCAACACATCTGTAGTTCCTCTGGTGTTGCAGATGTGTGGGTGTCGTTGACTACCTTTATGTGCACGCCGCTCCTTTACCCCCTTTTATTATATAAAAAAAATTCAATACGCTTTACGAGTAAATTTTTTTTGTATCGCATTACACCTACAATCGCAATTATCGTAGGCCGTAATCTTTACATACGATAAAGTCTAACTGTCATTAGGTACAAGGTTGGTTCGCAATTTCATATAATCTGTGGAAGATTACGCGGCCTTTTTTTGTCTGTGCAAACTTATACCGGCAATAATGACAGGAATTTATATATTTTAGGTTATATTTTCCGATATAAATAGTAGAAAAGTATTTTTTATTTATTTGTTTTAAAATATAGAAAACTAGGTTGTAGCCTTATGTTTTCTTCCAAAGTATGCTCTATATCTGCCTACATCGAGATCCGTTCAGCAGTTTAGGCTACAAACTCTAACAAACATCTTTCTAAATTTTCACATATATAATACTAGCTGTCGCCCGCGACTCCGTCCCCGTGGAATTAAAAAAAAACAAAAGTAAGTAGCCTACATGTTCTTCCAGACTATCCTCTAGATATATACTAAATTTTATTGAAATCCGTTCAGCCGTTTAGGCTACAAACTCTAACAAACATCCATCCATCTAAACTTTTGCATTTATAATATTAGTATGATTAGTAAAATAGTAAGAATAATCCTGAGCTGTTTTAATTTTTGTTATTTATTTTAGTAGTAATAGTAATAATTTGTTTTTAAGGTGTTTCTTTGTAAAAACTATTTATTTATTCGCCGCGTGGATCCGTGGCTTATTTTACTTTCAAATTAGGACCGAGAGCCGCACATTATAAAGGAATTTGTATCCAGTTACTTCTAGTGACTAGTATAGGTAACTTTGACTTTTAAGAAACGGGATCTGTACAGAACAGTCATTTCCCTCTGACAAATAAAAATAAGTTCGGAAACTTGATTGTGTTCTCGTTTTGGGTGTATTTTTTGAGACATTGGTACAAAAAGGCTGAGATCCAAAGCGTTTTTCCGTCCCACATCAGATTTTCTGATAAAATCTACATTATACGAAAGAGCACATGTTTAAAAAAATTTGCTTTTTCATGTATATTCTAGATTTTATCAGGAAATCTGATGAAGGAAGGTCATCACTAGTGTTGTATCCCTAACTAATAAAAGTAGTCAAATCCCCGCTAGAAGTATGAATTTACTTCGTACAAAAGACGATCTTTGCCTAGTCCGTGTCTCTATAGTCAAGTGATACACTCGCGTGTGACGATTTCACGTATGTTTTTGACTGGAATATTAAAAAGGTGACTGTCAAATTTTTATATGACAGTGTTGCGTTGGAATTTACGAAGATGACGTCATCATACTTTCGATCCTGTCGCCATTGTTGCTCACACATACTTGAATAGAGAAAAGATCTTAAGTGATATAGTGTGTCTAAATAATTTAGATTAGTTTGATAAATGACGCATATGAAGTACCGAATTTAATTTATATGAAGTCAAATGCCATGCTTAATAGACAGGTATCATAGTGACGAAACAAACACACATAGCAAACAATTTTGAACTATCGATATTCGGTTTAAATAATTAACAAACTCAACTAAAATTAATATTTTCTTATTCATTAATTTAGAGGACAATTCTATTATTGATTATAGTGTAGAGAATTTAGCGATGACGGAAATAATAGCGAAATACGATTATTACATTTATTATAATTCGATTACGTACGGCTGTAGTAGTAATAAACATTTATTTACTCTCATTATTTGTTATGGTCATTATTAATTTGAGAAAACAGTGTTTTTTTTTATTTCATAAGTTATAACTAGCTATAAATCTATCTATTCCAACTTCTATAAGAATAAAAATCGAAAATCGATTCATGACTGATTTTATACAGCCTTCTAAATTTGAAATTAATTGTCAAACTAATCTAAATTATTTAGACAAACTATAACTAAGGTACAACTGTTGTGCGATTGTCGAGTGTTTCGCAGCCTTCAACTGTTTAGTTGCACAACTAAAAATCGAGTTCGCACCTCCATAAGCTTATAGGAATCAAAGCGCGATTAAACAGTTCTGCGATAGTTTACTTAAAGTCTTTCGCCCGCGACTTAGTTCGGGTGTAATTAAAAAGTGAGTAGCCTATATGTTCTTCCAGACTATCCTCTACATCTATGTCAAATTTCATCGAAATCCGTTCAGCAGTTTAGGGTACAAACCAACAAACATCCATCTAAACTTTCACATTTATAAGATGTATAGCATACTTTGTTTTAAAGCTTAATTGAAAAAAGTGTCCTTAAAAATGAAAAATCATAGTCACATTGTAAATTTACGTAGTAACAATTTTTGTTATCAAGGACAAATGCGTACGTGATCTAAAAATCATATCTATTGACAATATTCCGCTGTCAGTGATAAATCATAATAAATTTATTCCGGATTATTCTATTACAATTATTAAAAAACGATATTTGATAATCACAATGACATCCAATATTTAAAACGTTAAAAACGATTACCATTCACTTCCGTAATAAATTATTTATTAATAAATAGCTGTTGCCCGCGACTCCGTCCGCGTGGTATTAGAAAACATACGAACTATATTAATAACCCTCGGGAACCGGACATTTCTCAGGGATGAACTTGTCCCATGTGTACTCCAGACTTAGTTTTATATCTGTGTCAAATTTCAATAAGATATGTTGAACCGTTGCAGAATGATCGAGTAAACATTTAAAAACCAAAGTAATAAATCCCACGGGAACCGTAGCTACTCCTGGGATAAAAAGTATGTGTTATTTCAGACTATGCTCTAAACCTGTGCCAAAAGTCATGGAGATCTGTTCAGCCGTTTAGGCTACAAACGCTAACTAACATCCATCCATCTATCGTAACTTTCGCATAATAATATTTATATGATATGATTACGGCTATTTTCCCTTCAACTTTTTTAGGCCCTTTTCCCTTCGCAATGACGTGCTCTTCCATACATCTCTATGTGACGTCATATATCTCTCGTGTAGTTATACATCTCCCTTCTTAAGCGTATAAATAATTGAAAATAATAGATTAAAAAAATCGTATCGCTTTTGCCTTTAACGTCATATTAAAAAGTTAGAAAAAAAAGAGCGCAAACGTGAGAACGGCATGCGTTTTGTTTATGGAAATCGAATGCATATTTGCAAACTGCTAATTCGCTATTAGCATATCGATAACCGGTTTGCATAACTGTTGTAACCTTGACTTTGTGTTGCATAACTTTTTATAATCTGTCAGCCATAGATAACGGAGGAAATGAAAGTGATTTTTCTAGTGATTCTTTTGAAAATGTCGGGTAGTAATGTTTTAAACGCTTTTGGCTCTAATTATCTACTTTTTTTTCATATATTCGTGTAATGGAATACTTTACTTTTAGTGTTTAGGTCAACTAAATAATTGAATTAACGTAAGTTAACCTTCATTTTTTTAACTCTAACAGCCTTACAAATAAACGCAATTTAAAGTTAAATTTAGAAATAAACTGAGTATAAGCAAATGTAACTACAAATTTTGCTTATACTCAGTTTATTCCTAAGTTTAACTTTCTACCGCGTTTATTTTTACAGGTGTAGGATATCAGGTTCGTATTTTTAATTTAATTTTATTGTATTTTATTTATATTGGATATATAATTACGTAATTTAGTCTACAAACGGCGGAGCTTAACTTAACAAGGCAGGACGTCATTGGATTCACCTTGGAGATAAAACTTTATTGCCTTATTTACATTTGTATGGATGAAGTGATGTTATCCACTTGTGATTAAACTTAATGGATTTTATTCTGTAGAGACAATTACATCATAACATTG